TATATATATATATATATATATATATATATATATGAATATATAATACACCAGAGTGCAGCAAAGTTCCGACTTTTTAAGATGGCTGTCGTCTGAACCGTAACTCTAAAGAGTTTGATAGGTGTGATTTAGGTCTCCGTGTTCATGATTCAGCGTAAGTGATAAAAATACTTCATATCGCGGCACTTTAATATTCTTACATTTTTATTTTAACTCGAATTTTTAGATCATATTTAGAAATCAGTTCAAATATAAAATGGCAGGATCAGTCGAAATTCCACTTCGTGATACAGACGAGGTGATAGAGCTTGATTTGGATCAACTGCCTGAAGGAGATGAAGTTTTGGGAATTTTACGGCAGGAACAAGCCCAACTCCACTTATGGGTTACACTTGCTTTGGAATATTATCGCCAAGGAAAAGTGGAAGATTTTATAAAGTTGCTTGATATTTCCAGATCTGATGCCAACTTAGATTATAGGGATTTCGAACATGACCAAATGAAGGCATTGGATACTTTAGCAGCTTTTTATGTTCAGCAGGCAAACAAAGAGAAAAACAAGGATAAGAAAAGAGAGTTATTTACTAAAGCTACTCTTTTATATACTACTGCTGACAAAATTATAATGTATGATCAAAATCACCTCTTGGGTCGAGCTTACTTTTGTATGTTGGAAGGAGATAAGATGGATCAAGCTGATGCTCAGTTTAATTTTGTTCTCAATCAGTCCCCAAACAACATCCCCTCTTTACTTGGTAAAGCCTGTATAGCTTTCAACAAAAAAGATTTTAGAGGAGCTCTAGCTTTTTATAAAAAAGCACTTCGCACAAGCCCAAAATGTCCTGCAGCAGTTAGATTAGGAATGGGACATTGCTTTTATAAACTTGGAAAACATGAAAAGGCAAAACTTGCTTTTGAACGAGCTTTGCAACTGGATCCACAGTGTGTTGGTGCTTTAGTGGGTTTAGCAGTTCTTGAGCTGAATTTAAAATCTTCAGAATCAATTCGTAATGGGGTACAGATGCTTTCCAAAGCTTATAGAATTGATTCTACAAACCCAATGGTTCTCAATCATTTAGCCAACCATTTTTTTTTTAAGAAAGATTATGGAAAGGTGCAGCATCTAGCTCTTCATGCTTTTCATAACACTGAAAATGAAGCAATGCGTGCAGAGAGCTGTTATCAGCTAGCTCGAGCATTTCACATACAGCAAGATTATGATCAAGCTTTCCAATATTATTACCAGGCTACTCAGTTTGCTTCACCATCATTTGTGTTACCACATTTTGGCCTAGGTCAGATGTACATTTATAGAGGAGATACTGAAAATGCAGCACAGTGTTTTGAAAAAGTATTGAAAGCTCAGCCAGGAAATTATGAAACTATAAAGATACTGGGATCTCTGTATGCTCATTCTAATAGTCAGTCTAAAAGAGATCAGGCAAAATCTCATTTAAAAAAAGTAACTGAGCAATTTCCAGATGATGTAGAAGCATGGATTGAACTTGCTCAAATTCTTGAACAGTTAGATATTCAAGGAGCACTGTCTGCTTATGGCACAGCTACACGAATTTTGAATGAAAAAGTTCAAGCTGATGTTCCTCCAGAAATATTAAACAATGTAGGAGCACTTCATTTTCGCTTAGGTAATTTGCAGGAGGCTAAGAAATATTATGAGGCATCACTAGAACGTTCCCGTAATGAAGCACAGCATGATGAACATTATTATAGTGCAATTTCTGTCACAACCAATTACAATCTTGCTCGCTTATTTGAGGCTCTAAGTCAGTTTCACAAAGCTGAAAGACTATACAAAAATATTTTAAGAGAGCATCCTAATTATGTTGACTGCTATCTCCGACTAGGATGCATGGCAAGAGATAGGGGTCAGATTTATGAAGCTTCTGATTGGTTTAAAGAAGCTTTGCAAGTTAATCAAGACCATCCTGATGCATGGTCATTAATTGGTAATCTTCATCTTGCAAAACAAGAGTGGGGCCCTGGGCAAAAAAAATTTGAGCGTATTTTAAAACAGGATGTAACAGCAAATGATACATACTCTCTTGTTGCTTTAGGAAATGTTTGGTTGCAGACACTGCACCAACCTACAAGAGATAAAGAAAAAGAAAAGAGACATCAGGATCGAGCAATTGCCATTTACAAACAAGTACTTCGCATAGATCCCAAAAATATTTGGGCAGCCAATGGCATAGGAGCAGTTCTTGCACATAAGGGGTACATTACTGAAGCGAGAGATGTCTTTGCACAGGTTCGTGAGGCTACTGCTGATTTTTGTGATGTTTGGCTGAACATATCTCATGTTTATGTTGAACAGCGTCAATATGTTGCAGCCATTCAGATGTATGAAAATTGTTTGAAGAAGTTTTTCAAGTATCATAATGGAGAAATTTTGATGTATTTAGGAAGAGCTTACTTTAGATGTGGAAAATTGCGAGAATGTAAACAAGTACTTTTGAGAGCTAGACGTGTTGCCCCACAGGATACTGTTCTGTTGTATAATATTGCCTTGGTGTTACAGCGTCTTGCAACACATGTTTTAAAAGATGAAAAAAGTAATCTTAAAACTGTTTTGAATGCTGTCCATGAACTTGGGCTTGCTCACAGATATTTTCAGTACCTTAGTGTTCATGGTGATCGTATGAAATATGATCTTGCTCAAGCTAATGCTGAAGCTAGACAGTGTCAGGACCTCTTAAGCCAAGCACAGTATCATGTAGCAAGAGCCCGTCGTTTGGATGAAGAAGAGCAAGAACTTCGCCGTAAACAGGAAGAAGAAAGAGAAATTTTAAGACAGAAAATTTTAGAGGAGAAACGTATTGCTGATGAAGAAAAACAACGTCAAGAACAGGAGTTAATCCAAAAAAGACAAGAGTTTGTTGAGAAGAGCAAGAATAAGCTGGTATTTGATGAAATTTCAGAAGAAAAGACACATAAAAGAGGCCGTGGAAGGAAAACTCAAGATGATTACATTTATGATGGATCCAGTAGTGGTGAAGGAGGAGAGCCTAAAAAGAAAAAAAAGAGGCCTGTCAGTGGATCTGAAGGAGTTGAAGGTGCTGATGGAGAAAAGAAAAGGAAGAAAAAGATCCATCGTAAAAGAAGTGGAAGACCACAAGATGATAGTGAAGATGAAGAAACATCTCAGAAAGACCGCAAACGTAGGAAACCTTCTAAACGTCAAGAAAGCAAGAAGTCCAAGAAAGTACTGGATGATGGCTTGACAGCAAAACAACGAAGTCGAATTGTTTCTAAAGCAACAATTTCATCAAGTGATGATTCTGACAGTGATGACAAAAGGAAAAATAAAGATCAAGGAGGTAGTGCCAGTAATGAAGATGTAAGAAATAACAGTAAAAAAGATATATCGTCCAACAGTGAAAGTGGTTCTGATAGTGATATAAAAAAAACTAAAAAGAAAATAGCTTCTGATTCTGATAATGGTTCTGAAAAGGAAAAAAAGCACAAGAGACGTAAAGTGGTTTCTTCTGAGTCTGATGAAGAGAAATCAGAAAGGTCAAACAAAACTGATGATGATAAGGACAGGAAATCTTCTGAGAATGAATCTGATGCAGAAAGATCAGAAAAAGGTTACAGTGCTTCAGATAAACACCAGTCAGATGATGACGATGGTGCCTCTGTTAAACGAGGCACAGATGATGATGCTTCTGATAAACATGGTTCAGCTGATGAAGATAGTGGTTCAGTCAAGTCAGCAAAAGAGCAGAATTATTCAGAGAATTCTGATGAGGAACAACGTGTCCATGAGCAATCTGAAAAAGAGGAAAATGACTCAGAACATTCTGAAAAAGAAGACAATGCCTCTGCATCTGAAGAATCTGGAAAAGGAAATGCCTCGGAGCATTCAGATCAAGAGGAGAATGCCACAGACAGATCTGAGAAACATAATTCAGATGACGAATCAAGAAAGGGGGATGATGCTGAATCTGGCAGTGAAGGAAGGTCACCACAAAACAGCCCTGTTGAATCTGAAGAGAATGCCCAAAATAACTCCAGTGATAGTGACTGATTTTTAACTTTGTGACAGGTAATTAGATGGTGATTTTTTTATTAATCCAATAATCTTTAGGGAATTCCAACATACATACACATCCTTAGGCTCCTTAATATTTAGGGTTATGATATTTTGCTGAACCCAAATCTTTTACTAAGCAGTTGTTTAATGTTTTATTGCATTTTGGTTGAATTATATAAAAATTTAAATGTAAACTTTGTGCAAAATGAATTCATGGCTATTCTCACAAAAATTGGTAAATCACGTCCAAAAAATGATAAAACCCTAAATATTTTGACAAGAACTGGATGATTACTTATGAGCAATAATAACCTCAATTAGTGTCACATAAAGTAATCGGTTAATCAAAATTATGATAAAATCAGTTAATCATAATTATGATTAAATTAATTTTCACAAAAATAACCAACCAATCAAAATTATGTTTTCTTTTTTTATTTTTGATTATTCCAATTATTTAAGTAATTAGAATATTGCTATTATGTTTGTTTTTTGTTAAACTCTGCCCAATTTTAGCCTTATAAGTTTTTTTTTTTACTTCTAATTTATGTTTTGGTGATTATGGGGAGGGATCATTATTCAAGGTTTTTGGGCTTGATTACCATTGTCACCAAACTTGCTCATTTTACCAAGGCTATCTGCCACTAATTTTGAACTGTTGACTAGAGGGAAGGCAACTGGTTAGCAGAGCCCACTGTTAACTTTTTTTATTTTTATTTGAACTGCTAACTAGAGGGAAGGCAACTGGATACCTGCCACCAACTTTTGATTATTTTTGAACTGCTAACTAGAGGGAAGGCAACTGGATACCTGCCACCAACTTTTGATTCTTTTTGAATTGCTGCCTAGAGGGAAGGCAACTGGCTACCTGCCACCAACTTTCAATTCTTTTTGAATTGCTACCTAGTGGGAAGTCAATTAGCTGCCTGCCACCAACTTTCAATTCTTTTTGTGAATTGCTGCCTAGAAGGCAACTAGCTACCTGCCAACTTTTGATTCTTTTTTGAATTGCTACCTAGAGGGAAGGCAACTGGCTACCTGCCACCAACTTTCAATTCTTTTTGAATTGCTACCTAGAGGGAAGGCAATTAGCTGCCTGCCACCAACTTTCAATTCTTTTTGAATTGCTACCTAGAGGGAAGGCAATTAGCTGCCTGCCACCAACTTTCAATTCTTTTTGAATTGCTACCTAGAGGGAAGGCAATTAGCTGCCTGCCACCAACTTTCAATTCTTT